GTAATAGTTGGCCGCACAACTGCGAAGATCAAATCTAACGTTCATTAGCTTTATCGGCCTTAGTTATAAATTATACACCATTATTTCTTAAATTCACATTCAGAAAGGAGTAAATAAGTAGGTACTTTTCATAAAATGTTGAGTAATCCTTTTTACTATTCTACAGTGGCCCTTTAAAGTTACATTTCCTCAAACTACTTTAATTCATGTGAACTTTGAGTAATATAACTTTCTTTCACGGTTTCTCTACTTCTCTGTTACTAAAATAAAATATTACAAAAAGTTATTTTGGCTGACGAAAGTTCTCGGTCTAAAAGGATAAACTACATAACTGTTCATAGTACTTACCTCCTCAATTTGTAACGCGATTCATTCGATGAACAAAACTGCATGAGAAGTGTCCAATAAATTGTAATTATATCATTTGCTACTTTAGATAGCCGATTATGGTAAATACGACTGAGTGATACTGATTCTGATTGGTCAATTCAACCGTTACAGCGCAGTTGGTGTATTGAGTTCTACGAATAGTGTGACGTCATTTGCCTGCGCCAATAAGACCTATAAAGAAACTACGCAATAACCCGTTTTACAAAAATTGCAGATCAACGTCTCTCGCGCTTATTGGTCGATTTTGGAGTCAAGACAAAAGAAATTGTGTACGATTTGTTAAAAGAGGAATAAGAAGCTTCGGACAAAAACACAACTCTCCCCCCCCCCCTTCCCCACCCAAAACTAAAAGAAAAAAGCAGCAAAAACAACATATGATATATAAAAGAATAAAAAGAAATCTAGAAATGGAATTTCTCTACAGTCATAAAGGTATTTCTGCAATGACAATACAGTCAACCTTCCGTAAGCGACCAACCAAAAAGTGCATGAGACGACTTGGTCAGTTGCTTACGAGAATAGAAAGACAAAGAAGCTAGAACTTCCTACAAGCTACCTTTTGGAAGAAAATTCATTGCCTGCAATTTCCAAGTTACGATTTTTTTTATATGTGTTAAGTTTCACGTTGTTGTGGGCGACAAGAGGAGCCCGCAAACCTAATCTCGAGGATGTTATGACGCATGCGTCGCATGTATGTAACCAGCGCTAGCATTCGTTTGGACTTCCACTAAGAATAAATGGAATGCACAGAACGCAATTTGATCACGCGCGTTTCGACCTTCTACCCCTCATAATCTAATCACGCCTGTTGACCATCTGTCACGTGAAACTTGCGCAAAGCACAGAGTTGGAGCAAAAGCGTTTGGACCTCTAACCGGTGTCGCCCGCATTCCCTAACCTGTAGCCAGCGAAGCAAGCCTCGCGAGAACGCGCGAGCGAGGAGCCGAGGAAAGGAGTTGCTACCAACTCTTTCCCTTGTCCTTCTTTACGGTCAAACTACACAGCGAGCGACACTGTCAAGTACATGTTTCTGAATTTTTCTACCCAGTGGAATTCAATCGGGCTAAGAAACCGACGTTGGAAGGCAGCGCTTGAACCGGGCGCTTGAATCCCTCTTCACTTTCACTCTTCTCGTTTTTTCAGAACTAAACAAGACGCTTGACACAAACGAATACAAGAAGAAGGGTTTTCATTTTCCTTCCACAAGAACTATAAACTCGGTCCGACTTATCCTCGGCTCGTAATATTCTCTTTGCGAGAACTAAATCAAACGAGCTCCCTCGTCTGCATTGAGGGCTGAAACAAGTTCTCGGTAGGCAATCTGATCCCCTGAGAACCAAACTGCCAGCTTGGCCTGTTATCAATCAACTTTGTTTTCCGGAACGTCATTTTTCAGCCAATTGTATTTCCCTTCGTCTGGGCCAAGTACAAATAAAATTTTATGAGAGATCGTTGCAAGCTCCCCTTTCCTCTGCTCCTCGCGGCTTCGCCGCTCGCTCGCGCGTTCTCGCGAGACTCGCTTCGCTCGCACAAGTAGGAGAGCTTGCTCGCAAGCTACCTAACCTTTGGTTATTTCTAGTCTCTTAAAGTATATAGCGTACTCTCAGAACTGTAGTACATATACAACGATCATTGGAATCAAACCTTGCCTTAGGTGGTCTCTTACCGGGAGGAAAGCGGTCATTGCAAAAAGGACTCTTGGTCGTCTACGAGAGGTGGTCGTTTACCATATGTTTACGAGAGGTTCCAGCAGTGGGATTTTTATTGCCGCGAAAATTTTGGTGTTTTGGATAGGTAGTCCGCATACGAGAGGTGGTTGCTCATAGACGTTCGCCTGTAGAATTTTTTTTTTTTTTTTGCTGCTTTAAAATCTCGGCACGAAATGAAAAGACAACAAGTACAGTGATCGGACGCGCCAGCGCCGAATTAAGTGCTTGTAGTCGGATAAAATTAAAGAAAAACCGCAAATTTACTTGCAATTGTCAGCAAAGATGTGTTATCTTAATGGTCATACCTACCATACACTCTTTTTTTTCAACAAGAATATATTTTATAACAATATCGAGGCTGAAATTTGCGAAATTTTAAGAATATTTTAAGAATAAACCCCAGGCTGAGATATTGAAAAGCCCGGGAGACATTTTTGTGTGTTCAAAAGCTGTAAATTTAATACAGCTATATGTTTTCAACTTATTCCATTCTCTAAAGGGGAAAACTAGGCAAGAGGTGAAAGAAAAAGCTGCACTGACTACAATTGAGAACCCCCAATATATGTATTCTAAAACGGAAATGTCGCAAGATGTAATCTAAGAATAATACAAGGATATTTTCAGCCTAAAATCGGCAGAAAAATGAGAATATTCAGCCTGGGCCGGAAAAACACCATTCTTGTAAAAAAAGAGTGTACTTATGAAGTACTCACCAAAGAATTTCCGCCCACAGGCATCGGCGTCCTTGAGCCACGTACGTCAACCGGATTCATGGACCGGCAGCTAGTGCTTTGATTCATCGTCTCAACACTGAGAAAAAAATTAAAGCACTAAATACAAATTTGTTAGCGTCGAGGCATATTAACAATAGAAAGGCTTCACTTCCGGTTGACGTGCGTGGCTCTACAAAACGCTTTTGCTTAAGCTCCGTTATGCAGGCTTTCACCTCAAGAAGACATTTAAAGACATTTAAGAAGTTATAAGAATAGATCGAGTTTCTCCGCATAACTTGAAATTACAAAATAGCCCATAACCCGGAGCGTCTAACTTCCATACTGCGCCTATGCAACGTGGTTTTCACAAGTACGTTTATTTTTAGATAAGCTTTTCCCGCGAATTACTTTCGAAAAGCCAATCAATAGCAATTGCGTCATCAATGATAAACTTTTAATACGTAAATAGGACAACTCCTTCACATTGAAGAAAAAAATAGCGGACACACGTGAGGAATCTTCAGAGGAGTCTTCTGACAGTTCTTCAAACGACAATTTCAGTATTTACACGGAAACTAGCAGTGCAGAAGAAGATTTGCAAAACCTAGCCAGGACGTCTGCTTCATCGACGACAACGCATAATTCACGCAAAGAAATCATCTTCGAAATAGCCGACTGTGAAAAGGTCCAAGCGAGCTACTAACAATCTAAACGACGATCAAATGCAGGAATTGACCTCGTGGAACAGTTATTTTTCGCGGGAAAAGCTGATCTAAAAATAAACTAACTTGTAAAAACGCCGTTGCACGAATTTATGGCAGTTGAACGCTCCAGGTTATGGGCTCCTGCCAGCTATTACTTACACGAAAGGTAAGGCCAGGATATCCTGGCTCACTGGTTGGAGACAACGCCATACAACAGGCACGCTCGAGATAAACTATGCGCGCGAGGGAGGAGGACACACGCGAGGAGGAGAGAGGATTTTCTCTTTGAGGGGGATAGGGGTATCCTCTTTTGCCCCCAGCTGTAATGACCCCCTCCGTGTATAAGCCCCTTACAAAGGTGTTTAAGAAATATTTGCCTCGGGGCATGTGCTGATTCCTTTAGACTTCAATATTTTTGAAATTTCACAATATATTGAAAGTCTATCATTGCGGAAGCAAGGCCGAATAAAGTATTCCTCTCCGACCCTAGCCNCTTCAAACGACAATTTCAGTATTTACACGGAAACTAGCAGTGCAGAAGAAGATTTGCAAAACCTAGCCAGGACGTCTGCTTCATCGACGACAACGCATAATTCACGCAAAGAAATCATCTTCGAAATAGCCGACTGTGAAAAGGTCCAAGCGAGCTACTAACAATCTAAACGACGATCAAATGCAGGAATTGACCCCGTGGAACAGTTATTTTTCGCGGGAAAAGCTGATCTAAAAATAAACTAACTTGTAAAAACGCCGTTGCACAAATTTATGGCAGTTGAACGCTCCGGGTTAATGGCTCCTGCCAGCTATTACTTACACGAAAGGTAAGGCCAGGATATCCTGGCTCACTGGTTGTAGACAACGCCATACAACAGGCACGCTCGAGATAAACTATGCGCGCGAGGGAGGAGGACACACGCGAGGAGGAGAGAGGATTTTCTCTTTGAGGGGGATAGGGGTATCCTCTTTTGCCCCCAGCTGTAATGACCCCCTCCGTGTATAAGCCCCTTACAAAGGTGTTTAAGAAATATTTGCCTCGGGGCATGTGCTGATTCCTTTAGACTTCAATATTTTTGAAATTTCACAATATATTGAAAGTCTATCATTGCGGAAGCAAGGCCGAATAAAGTATTCCTCTCCGACCCTAGCCCCCGATCCAGAATAGCGTTGTACCTTTTTATTTGAATGCCTGGTATATAAAAGGAAATGTTCATGGACCTCAGGGAAGAGCATCCTCGCAAAAAACATTGAGAGAAAAATCTCGAACGTCAACTCCCTTAAGATACTGGCTCTTTCATATTTTCGCGATAATATCAGATTGCAATCTCATTTCCGGTAATATTATGCTCCCGGCAACCGGCAAGGGAGTTTATTTGTGCCAGTAAGTCCCCAAAACAGTTCTCGCTAGTTCATTTATTTATTTATTTACCCAATTTTTTCGTCGTTAATGAAGCCTTGTTGCACTTTTCCCGAGACAACAGTTGGATTGTCCAGCGGCAATACACAAAAATGGTTGATTACGAACCAATCAATTGTGTTGTTATTTTGGCTCATTACGCACACGAACCAATCAGATGGCGTCTTATTTTGGTCATTACGAAAGGAGAAACGAGCAAAACAAGGAACCTGAAATGATGTTTCGAACGTGATATTCGAAGAGGAAAAAATATCAATACCGAGGAGTACGCCATGGCGTCGCATCGCAGATTTAACATCCCTCTGCATTCTAACGATGCGTTAAAAACCATGAACGATCTTCGAAGGAAAGGCGAGCTTTGCGATGTTGTCTTGCATGTGGATGGACACGAATTTCCCGCGCATAAAATTGTGTTGGCGGGAGCGAGTTCTTACTTGCGAGCAATGTTTACAAACGGCATGTTGGAAAGTGGCATGAAAGATATAAAGTTACAAGGGGTAGAAGCGACTGTGATGGAAAGTTTACTGAATTTTGCATATACAGGCTCTATCGATGTAACTGTAGAGAACGTACAGGCGCTTCTATCCGCCGCTTCCCTGTTGAACTTGCAAAGCCTCAGAACTGTTTGTTGTGGTTTTCTACAGACACACCTTGATGCGTCGAACTGTCTTGGGATTCGGGCGTTCGCCGATTTGTATTCTTGCTCCGAACTCGAGGAAGCTGCCTATCGTTTTGTTCGTCAACACTTCTTGGATGTAGTCAAGTGTGATGAATTCCTACAACTACCCAAGCAAGCGTTGCGGAATCTCTTGAGGGAAGACCTTCTTCAGGTTCGATCTGAAAACCAAGTGTTCGAAGCTGTCGAAGCGTGGATTTTGCATGATTTTTGCCGACGTAAGGATTACGCGGTCGAATTGTTAACCAATGTAAGAGTTCCTCTCTTAACTCTTGAGTTCCTGGAAGCGCGAGTTTTTCCTTCGAAAATCATTAAGAACAATGCCGACTGCCAACTCTTTCTGGCCAAAGTGCTCAACGAAAGTGCCCGCAATCTCCCGCGATATATGACACTTCCACGCGCTCAACCGCAAGCTGTATACGCGATCGGTGGTCGAAACGCCGTTGATTGCCAGCTTTCGAGCTTAGAAAGATATGATACCCTAACTAACCAATGGATCTTATTGGCAAGCATGAAATATCCTAGAACTGCAGTGGGTGCTTGCAGTCTCAATGGTTTGCTTTATGTAGTGGGTGGAGAGTGTGCAGTTAGCACCCCTCATGATGACACCATGTATGTGCGACATGTTGAGTGTTATGATCCAGCTGTAAACCATTGGATTTCGTTAGCTGACATTGCTATTCAGAGGTCGTTTGTTGCAGTGACAGCATTGAATGGCTACCTGTATGCTCTTGGCGGTGAAGACAGAACTTGCAGTTATAACTATGTTGAGAGATACGACCCAAAAACAGATCACTGGAGTACTGTGCAATGCATGAGACGAAAGAGATCCGGAGCAGGAGTTGCTGTTTGTGACGGTTTGTGTCATGAGCCCAACTGTAAAATAGTCAAACCTCCTGCAAGAAACCATCCAAAATGCGCAGATTTGCACATTACCTTGTGGTTTTCCTCATAATGATCTATCTACATAGTATTACTGTAAATCCCCTATTAAGTCCCCCTCTCAAATAAGCCCCCTCCCTCTAATAAGCCTCCCCCCTTTTCAGGGGAAGAAAGGCAATGAGCTCTCCCTCTCTACTAAGCCTCCCCCCTTCCCTCCCTTAATTATTCTTCACTAATAAATAAGAGGCTGTATTAATCAATCACGACTGTAAAACTTAGCAACCTGGAAGTTCAGATTTTATTCTGATCTACTGCTGTATGACCTCCAGCCTTCTTGTTTTTGAGCTGCTCCACTTTGTATTCTAGATTTTTATGGAGAACTGAAACCATCGTCTTCTGTAAATTAGATAAGTTCCCCCTCTCAAATAAGCCCCCCCCCCCCTCAAATGGGCTTGAAATAAATAAGCCTCCTGGGAGGCTCAATAGAGGATTTATGGTAACTGACAGAAAACTGNTTTTCTATTTTTTTCTCACTTACTGCTGTTTGACCTCCTTCCTTTTTGTTTTTGAGCTTCTCCCCTTTGTATTTTAGATTTTTATGGGGAACCTAAACCATCGTCTTCTGTAAATTTGAAAAGTTCCCCCCCCCAAAAAAGCCCCCCCCCCCCCCTCAAATGGGCTTGAAATAAATAAGCCTCCTGGGGGGCTCAATAGAGGATTTATGGTAACTGACAGAAAACTGATTTTGGTGGTTTTGAATTGGTGATTGCTTATGAAAGGTGATAACACAGGGAAGTTTAACCTTGCTATTTTAATTTCTGAGATATCAAGTTTTATGACTACAAAATATAGTTAATTTGTTTTTGAATATAGCCTGTCAGCAAGCTCTCTGAGGTGCAGTGGGATGGGAAAAGGAAGGAGAGCTTGCTACTACGTCTCTGGAATTTGAATTCCACCTCCAATTCCCCTGTGGCTCCCTTTCAACTGAGCTGTCAGATTTCCACCAATCAGCGCAAAGTGGAACAAGTGTGAACGTAAACAAACATTGAAAAACACATGCCTAGGAAAGTGACATCATTACTAATGTCATCTCCGCCAATCAGCATTTTGCATCAACTTTTTCGATGCAGATATTCAATTCCAGAGACATAGTTGCAAGTTCTCTCTGCCGCCAGAGCTCCCTGGAGAGCTTGCTTGCAGGCTATTTTGAATATAGTACATATCATACTTTGAATCAGCTTTTGAGCCCCTTTAAAGGGAAATGTCTAAGAGGAAAATGATCATTATTCAGATGTTGAATTTCTAAATTTTTGAGGGTATGTTCATAATGGGAGGGGTCCTTTGCTTTGTAAGAATGTTCTGTGATAATTTTTGGGACTCCAGATCTAGGAGAAAGAAGCCAACAGAACAGAACACCATGTTTTATCTGATATGTGGACAACAAGAAGTGCACTGGATGAAACACTCTTTTTGATATAGCTTTTCAAATGATCAAGAATTACCTCACAGGTTTTGTTGCAATGCAAGATTTCATTGTAAAAAGTTTGAAAAATTTAGTGCAGTGTTCCCTGAAGTAACCTTGCAACCGTGAGTTATTTTGGAAAGTATTAGACTATTATCAAACGTAGGCAACAAAATTGCAAAATCATGCTTCAAACAATGGGTCCGGATGGCCAGGGCTTATTGTAGTTTCTGTAGAATAACGCACTTAGGCCCAGGTCAGACGTGGTGCTTCTGCTGTGCCGAACTTAATTCTAATTTGGTTCGACTGTAGCACGGCAGGAAAACAACTTTGATTCAGACGTCGTGCCAGAGTCGAACCAAATTCACGATTTACTGATGCCTCGTAACAATTCTTCTCCCAACTCCCCATGGGAACGCAGTCTCGCCAAAATACATTAATATAATTTATGAATTTTGTTTAGCGCGGCAGAAGCACGACGTTTGAATCGCTGCCGTGCAAGGGCCGTGTAGCACGGCAGCGCTTGTCGAACTTAATTGCTTGCCGAACTTAATTCAAAAGTTTGATTCAGACGACGTGCTTCTGCCGTGCTTTTGTCGAACTTAATTCCTGAATTTAGTTCGGCACAACAGAAGAACGACGTCTGAACTGGGCCTTAGGAGTATTGGATGCTATTCCATGGTTACCTCCTGTAAAGGGTTGCTTTGGCAATTGGTCATTGGAAATTTGGGCAATGGGTATACCAAGGTCACTGCAATGATTTGCTTGAGTGACCACTAAACAATAGCTTCTCAGTGCACAATTCCCAATGCCTAAAAGCAACCTTCATTGAAACAGCAACACTGTACATTTACAAGTGGGTAGATGGAGACTGTACTACCCAAAGAAACTATGCAATGACAAGACTTAAACCCAGATCTAAAGATCCAATGTCTGATGTGTTAACTATTAGACCAGACATGTCAACATTGTTGTCACGCTGGTGTAGAAAAAGGAACACTTGCCAACTATATAGTTATTATTCTTTAAAAATAATACAAAATTTCACACAAAAATCGGTGCCCGTGGACCACAAAAATCTGCCTATGTTATCTCAGACACTTTTTAAATGCTTTGTATTATTGAAAGAGCAAGTTGTTTGCTTTTCTATTGCAGGGAAGATATTCATTGCAGGGGGCTATGACCGTGGAGTGCATAGCGACAGAGCAAGTGTTGAATGCTATGATCCTGATTCCGACACCTGGACTTTTGTCACTGAACTTGAAAAAGCACGGTCAGGCATGACACTGGCAACCATTAACGGATACATCTATGCGCTAGGTGGCCGCAACAGAAGTACAGATCATTATTTTGATCTTGCCGAAAGATACAACCCCCAGACCCATCAGTGGCAACCTATAGCACCCTTGAACACACCCCGAGCATGGCCTTCAGTGGCAGTTTATGACAACAAGATATTTGTGCTAGGGGGATTTGATGGAGCACATAGACTCTCCAGTGTGGAAGTTTACGATCCTGACACAGATACTTGGCGTTTTATGCAGGACATGAACACTTGTCGAGCAGGAAGTGGTGCAGCTGTGTTGTAAAGAGTTTGGAAGCAAAATAAAAGAGCTATTGTTTGATTTCTTTGAAGTCTTTCGAGGGCTGTTGTGTGGTGGACTTGGCACTTGCGTGATGTTTTTTCACGGTTTTACACACATTTTTAAATTTGTAGATGTTTTTGCCCAACTTGCTGCCAACAAAAGAATACCCTAGCCTGCTTTGGCAAAGAAATAATGCCTTTATGTTTTCTTTTCATCTACTTGCCTTTTCAAAGTGCAATCTGTGATGTGGTGAATTCACCATTTTTTATTTCTAGTTGTTTGAGAAGTAGCTTTTTGTACAAAGTTTACAAAAAGATTCTTTACCTATGGACTGCAAACACTTTGGTTTGTAAATGGCAAATAACAGTTGCAGTGAATGCTCTGGTTTTTCCTTACTGCTTTGCATATTTATGGTACAAACAGGAGATGAAAATTAAAGTACCGATATTTCCACTAAAATGTTTGTTTAGTGCAGTATTCAAGGCACGAGTGTGCTAGCCCGAGAGCAAGCTGTCCATATTACTGGTGAGGGCCACCCCTCACTGACTCATGCATTTCCTTTCATGTGATGGTCACATGACTTTCCACAGTATTCCCCAAATGGAGAGCTTGCACACAGGCTAAGATTGTACCCTAAGTAAACACTTGCAGGAAGCACAGCAGTCAGTCATAAACCAATAAGTACAGGAACTGCCCCACTTCTGTCACCATATTATAAACTGAACTCAACCGTAAGATCAAAATGGTGACTGCCCCTCCCCCCCAAAAAAACAACAATGTTACAGGGCATTCAGACTATGCATAGCATTACACGTGGCACCCAAGGTTTGTGCTTAAAGAAATGTTTTCTTTTTGTCCGAGATTGTCATGACCCTGCAAGCAGAGGCTACCTGATCTTTCCAATATTGCAGTGGAGGATTGGAATCCCATTTACGCCAAGCACAAGATTCAAGTTGACAAAGCCTAAGACATTTAAATAAGCAGATAAAAATGCAAAATAAAGGACTGTTGAATTAATCTCAATAGCTGAACTCCCCTAGTTGAAGAATAAGCCATTTTTCTTACCCCTGAAAAATGTAATAATGTCGCATTCACCCTTAAGACTTTCTTAATAGAAATATGCAGTACTTTTCTCAAAAAAGTAGGAAAAACTCTATGTGAACCCCTGAAGAATTCACTTAAAAATTAATGTCCCCCCTAACAAATTTCTGATTCAGCGTCAAAGGTTCCTTTAACCGCTATAAAACTTCATCTCAATCTCATTCAATCTCAGTGAATACACTACAAATTTTACTAAAATGCTTGTAAATTTAATACTATCAACAAATAATAAAAATTTCAAGATAAATCTAGGTTTGTTAAAAGGCATGATTGAGCACCTACAGTTCACTTCAAAAAATGTGATTAAAATGTACTGTAGCGACAGCCAAGTAGATAAAATGCCAAACACACATTACAGGGGCGGATCTAGGGGGAGGGTGCAGGGGGTGCACACCCCCCTGAGGTGACCTGTGGTTTTCTAATACAACTGGTATTCTGCAGAAAAAAAAACTGTGGATTATTGGTGTTGAAGTAGAGCAAGAGACGAGTGCACCCCCTCCTAAAAAAAATCCTGGATCCGCCCCTGCATTAATAAAATTGTTACCATGTGACATCTTAAACATAACTCCATGCAACTACATAAACCAGTTTCAACTGTTTTGTAAACTAAAGATTCTACATATATCAAGAGAAGATACAGTTGTATGTCTGGCATGTTTTTAAACTGAGACTTGATGCAGTAACAGGATTTTGCCATCTGGTGCACTTCTTCATTCATGTGAGATGTTCTTACCAAGTTAATGACTGGGTCAGTGTTATAGTCGAAAATAAAATGACTTCTACAGCATGGCTGAATTTTCTTATAAATAAATAAAAATTATAGTTAAATTGGTGACAATGAAGCCCTCTGTCTTGCTGTCAAGTCTGGATGCCAAAAGTCCACAATTAAAATAAGTCTAAAGCTTGATCCATTGTGCCACACTTCATGATCAAATGAGTCGTCAATGATTATTGCCTTGCCTTCTTCCCATGTTCTGTTGATGAAATGGGTGTAAAAAAATTATTAATCTGTTAATTTTTAGAGCAGTTTTTAGTAAGGCCATTTACATGATGTTGTTATTTGAAGTGTGCGCATGTGTGCGTACAGTGCGGACGCAACTTTTGTAGCTCTGGTACTTTTTCAATTCAACTATTCGTAATAAATCTTAAGCCGTCTACACACCACCTGCCTCGATTAGCCTTGCTATTTGCAGGTGGTGTGATATTTGTATATTTAATGTAAGAAATAAAGATGTTGTTGTTGTTGTTGTTGAAGTATTATTTGATTATTTCAAGAATATTTTGGAGCTAACTATAGAGAACAGGGTAAAAAAGTACACTTGAACATGTGTTGGTACAGACCAAGGGTTCCCAGGTCACAGTAGTGGAAAACCCAACAAACCCAATTTCTTAGTGTACCCTCCGGAGGTGGGGGGGGTACTTTAGGAATTTCTGGGTGGGGATGTGCCGCTGGGATCCTGGAACCCTTAACCTATACCAGAGCTAGTTCAGCTGAATTTTGCTACCCTATACTAGAGTAAACTCCCCAAATCCCCCCTATACTAGAGTAGCTGTTTCCCTAGTCCAGATAAAATCTTCAACAAACTGATCAGTTTCCTGAAAAATGATACCCTATTCTAGACCCAAACGCTCTGATTTATATACCCTATCCTAGAGTAACCTGCTTGAAAACCATACCCTTCACAGCGGCACATACCTATATAGCCCATATGTGGCAGTACCCCCTTGGGGTGTACCCCCCTCCAGGAGATCTTCTTTGTCTCATAAGCCTTTGACATTCTCAACATTTCGTCTTTACTTATTAACTACATATGTATGATAAATCCCCTATTAAGCCCCCTTCCCTCCCCTCCCCCTTATTCGCTGATAAATGATAGACTGTATTAATCAATCACGACTGTCAGGAGACTCCCGCAGGAGTCTATTGCGACTGTAGAACGTTGCTTGGACTGATCTAGGATGCTTTATTCACCAGCTGGAGGTTCTGATTTGTTTTCAAACCTCCAACGTCTTGTACTTGAGCTTTTCCACTTTGCCTTCTAGTTCTTTATGGAGAACTGATACCATCTTCTTTGCTAAACTGAATAAGCCCCCCCCCCCACCCCCAGTCTCTTTTTAGCCCCCCTGGGCGGTTTAATAGAGGATTTACGGTACCCAGATATTACATTTTTAAACATTTTTGAGATTCCCCTGGTGACTGACATGTTTGTAGGTATAGTTAGGGTTTCTAAGTCTTACTTTGTTTCTCTGCCGACCCTGATGGCTACATGTTTGGGGATCACAAGTCCAAGATGAAGGCGTAAGCGGCAGTTTGTGGGACCAGTATGTGGCCAAACATGAGTTCCTGGAAGCATCACGGAATACTTGATCTATAGGAAAGAATGATTGAAAAAATGAGGGAGTAGGCTGCAGACATAAAGAACACTGTGTTTCTCCTTTCTAAAATTAGCAACTGACATGATTTCCAACATTCTTTAAATCAGGAATTTGAAGCAGTGCTCAACAACACTTGACACCAACTATGTACTGTGGGACTGTAACAGTCTCTCCCCCATGAGACATGGACCACCACACCAGCGACTATGTCCCCTACTTTTATGGACAGAGCATGGGTTCTTCAGCATCCCACAGAATTTGTAGATGCAAGGGTTGTGAGACAGGGCCTACAGTTTATTGTCCTTATTCAAGAGGACTAGAAAGTCTAACTGTTTGCAGATGTCTTCACAAAGGCAGCATTTTCTGCTCAGTTATTTAAATAAAGACCTTGAGTGTTGCTCTGGCTAGGTTTAGAACCGGCAGCCTCCTGCTTGGCAGACAGGTGCTTTTCAAATCCAAACAAGCTTACTAGGTAGTTTCAGTTTGGTATGTGCCCTCTCATTAAAATGTAGTGATTTTTAGGATCAATTTGAGGTTTCTGGGAAAATTCCCACGTATGCCTCCCCTACGCTATCATTTTGCCCTAAGTAAGAAGTAAGTGTTAATGTTAGCTTAGGGGAGGAGAAGGAGGGCAGTTTCCCGAAAACGTAAATTGATCCGATTTTTATCAAAGTATAGGAAACAGGGTAATGCAATTCACTCTATTTGGGGTTAAACAATGTGACAGAGTACCTGTCCTCTCTTACAGCTGGTAGCATCATGTATAGTATCAATGATAGCACAAGTTTGTGGGGTCTTTTGACAAGCTGCTGCATTCTTCCTGCCACGCTGGTACATAGTAAATTGTTTCCAATCTCCCTGCTGGCGCAGATTTTCCTCCTCAGGTATAAACCCTCCAGTTTTCTTATCAAGTACGGACAATCCTTCATCTCTGATTACTTTCCAGTTGGCTTCAAGTTTCCTGGTATCATTTTTATGAAAATTATGTTACAGTTTGTAATTGTTGTACCAAAATTGATTATATATCATTAATTTCATTGTCGTCATCATTGTCATCATCATCATCATCAGAATCACACTCTCATAGTAACTATCATCATAATAAAGTCATAATCATATAATAAACATTCCTTGGCTTGTTTGTTTGTTTGTTTGTTTATTTTTTTACTGTTTCGCCTCCTTTTTATTTGCCGCCCTGTTATTGTAAAGTTTTCGTAATGTTATGTTAAATGATGTTTAATAAATAAATTATTAAAAAAATAAATAAATAAATAAACATTCCATACAGTAACTTACAATATTATAGTTAAGGAATGATATCAAATTACCATAGTTAAAATATTATAATAATAAACATGCACTGTAACAGTGATATTGAATTTGTTCACAGCATGAAATTAATAATAATATTCTAACTGTTATATTTCATTGTTATAATCATATTTATTTCTTAATTTTGTTAACAAATTATTAAAAAAGTAATTAATGCAACTATGTTAAGTATTCTATCAATAATATTGCAACTTCAGTTAGGTGTGAATATTAAAAGTTACTTGGAACTTCACCATGGTTATAACAAATTTTAGAAAATTTAAAATTAATTTTATTGTGATAATTTCTCAAAATCATAACACCAATGTTAATCACCATTATTAAAATCTCCCACCATTACTCAACATTAATATATTCAGACTTATATCTACTTCATGGTAAGGGCAATATGTTGGATTTCGGGAAGGGGTAGGTGGGCACCATTTACAGAATCTTATATTGACTCAAATTCTCAATCCACAAAGCACTAGTTGCGATCAGGAACTTAATATTGGCTGCGGCCACATTAGGGGACTTAACCAAGTTATTTCCCATTACAGTGAATCCTGTATTAAGTGGACACCATATTAAGCGGACACCCTCTATTATGTGGACAGTAGCTGAAGTCCCCAAATTTATCTTCCTTATTTACTTTAAATGAAACCTTTACTAAGTGGAAGCCTCTATTAAGTGGATGCGGACACCTAAAAAGTACTTGAAATGGTTATTTCTATTGTTGACAACCTGTATTGAATGGGCACTTGTGATTAAATTCCACCACCAAACATGCAAGACACTGGAAATGCGAAAGATTGCCACCCACAAGTTTTTCAATTTTTAAATTAAAAAACATGACTTGAAAAACTTATTTGATTAGTTTCACAGTACAGTATTGTTTTCTATTTCGTTTTGTTTCTATAGAGCTTGTTACACTCATCTGATTTCTTCAAATTTGAGTTGCAATCCATGTTTATGGTACTAGGATCAATCAGTCCACTTTAATAAAGAAATTAATGCAAACGTATATCGTTATAGTCGTTGGAAATATTCTAAATGTTTCCACTGTCCATTTGAATGGCATTTGACACCTCATATGACATTGTCTATCGAAACCTGTATTAGGCGGACACCCTGTATTAAGTGAACACTACAGCATTCCCCGAGGGTGTCCGCTTAATACAGGTTTCACTGTAACTAATTAAAGTTAATTCATTTTAAAAACTGCGAATGCGGTCAGGTCTTAACTGAGTTCTAACCGGGCTATGCAAATCAAGCAAGAACAATAGACTTTTTTAACCAGGTTAGGTTTTTTTAAACCACCTGGTGAGGTAGTTTAGTGCAGGATAAAATAATATTATCAATCAGTCAATCAGTCAATCAGTCTCTGCCTAGGTGTGAGAATGGTCAAAATTTTGGCTTTACCATTGCAGCAAGCACAACAATTTCGACAGGAGTAATAGGCTCCTGGTTTTGATAATTCTTTCTTTCATTCCAAGTTCAGCTTTTCTTTCTTAACACAACTGAGTTAAGACTTTTAAGAAGTTGACCTCTTTTTATCAGTAATACGGGGTCAAATTTTGTCAGTCACTCTAACTGTCTAAGGCGAGCCTTATGGTTGACCCAAGTGAGGGAAAAGACAAAACTTCATGACATTGAACGACTTTGTAAAAGTCTAAATCGAGACTGGCCACTGATAATTAACTCTTTTAACCAGGTTGCATTCTGAAGAATTTCTTCACCGGGTGAAAAAACCCAGTTGTTTTGCCAAGTGCGCCACAGCCATTGTTTCTCAAAATGAATTTAAGCAATTTAAGCAACTTCGTACCCCTACCATTTGGCACAATAGCCTGAGAAAAAAGCCAACATTTTGTGATGTCACCAGCAGATTCCCTGCAAAAATGATGTCTGAGGAATGAGCACAGAAATTCCACATTGATGAGATGTCACTTCCCTGATTGGATGAAGCAAATTTTCAACTGGTGATGCGTCACTAGTGCCCGGATCAAGGTAGTGTCGACACATCCACGGTATGGAATTTCTCCACTGACGTTCCTCAGACATCATTTTGAGGGGAAACCAGAGGTGGCATCATGAAATGTTGGGTGTTTTATAAGGCTAAAAGCACAATAAATTAAGTCAGTTATAGTCGTTAAGAATAATTTTATAAAGCTTCTTCAAAAGGTTTTTCATCAGCTAGAGTAAGATGTGACTTCTCGCAACTTGCATCCTATTGGATACAACACAGCTTTTCCAAATAGATCATCATAAATTTACTGTTACCAGACAGACTGACAGAAGTGACATCAGGTGTTAAAAATAATAATTCTAACAATTAATTGCATGTAGCTAAATGTAATGTAGGCTAGGTTAAACAACACAATGCGGCTACCGTTTTCCATAAAAAATCGTGCATAGGGTGGTCTTTAGGCATTTGAAGGGTTCTATTAATTTTACAGTGCTCAATTTGCTGAGGTCAGTCACTTCGCTGATCATGTTGCCGTCACCTGCGGTAGCTTTAGCCCTTTTTTTTCACCAGCCACCCCTCCCCTTGAATGTTTTTCTTGGTACGTATCTGTGATACGCTTGTCTTCACTAAGGTTCTCTGTGTCATATTGCCTGGTGGTTGCTGCTCACAGGTTGTCATTGTTACCTTCTGGGTCCCCATGCGGCTCCCTTTGTTTCAACATCAACTTTCCCCACTCCCATCTAGCTATTGGCAACTGATTTAACTATGATTTATAATATGTACAAACATTAAGTTGAACTCTCAGAAATATTGCTAATGGGGGTGGGAGAGATATGTACAGTTTCATACACAGTGTCTTGATAAGACTGACTTACTGTATGGCCGTTAAATATCCAGTTTCTTTTGCCGTCCAGAAAGGTTGAGCTTTCAGGGGAGTATCAGCATTGTAGAGGGAGCGTTGTAGAGCAGACAGAAAGATGCCTTTACCAGCAGCCTCATCGTACACCTTGTAAGCCTGTAACATAAAATTTAGGGCATCTTAACAAACAGCAGTTTGACACCATAAGATTAAAGAAGAAAAATAAAAGAATAAATAAAATTATTGGAGAAATACCTCATCTGGTTTTCCAACCCGAGTCAGTGCATCTCCTAGATGAAAATAAAACCTCCCATCATCAGCCCCAGCATGGCCGCTTGAGATTCCTTCACGTAACAGAGGAATTGCCTCAACATAACGCAAGTGGTCTGTTTTAAGAATAAAACCCAAATGTGACTTTGCAAAACCATTTGTTGGATCCAGGTTTATAACCTGAGAGGAGAAAACACATGTAGATCTAAGCTTAACAATTAAGGACTTCTACTCTAATTAGTAGTACTTAATAGAGGAATACTGTGACTGGATCATTTTGCAAATGTACGTGAACATAGACTATATGTTACTTACATTAGAAATGTTACAGAAAATTGAATGTTTATTGTATTTTTTTTAATTGAACAAAATAATAATCATATCATTGCTCAAGATCAGGACCCCTGACATCACATCAACAGGTGTTTTTAGGCACAATAAAGTCCTATTTTAGCAAGGTAGTAGAGTGAGGAAATAAGTGGACCTCTGTTTAGACAGTCAAGAAAAAAGTGCGTGAATACTGCCATTGTAAAATTAAAATAAAAATTATTAAATTAATTAATCAGTGTATTCTCTCCCCTTATAGGGCTTTTTATACATACTGAATCAAACAATTCAAATGGAACAAATCAAGGTTAAGAAATCCCAGCTGGTAGGGGGCTTAACAGAACTTTGGCTTATTAGAAGTCTGACCGCGAGGACTTGAACTTGAGGCTATCACTACCAAGAACAAATCCAGCTAGCAGTCAGGGTGGGGCTTGAACTTGGAGCCTTGGAACTGTAAGTGAAGTGCTCCAACCACACGGCCAAGCTGCCTCTATGTTGCTGTATGGGTGGCTTTAACTTTACCTGATTATAAATACTTTCTGCATCCCTGTTCCTTCCCGACAGGAGATACTGCACTCCTAGTTCATTCATAAGCTTTATGTCTCCAGGGAACAAATTTAATAGTTTCTTCAGCACATTAGCGGCTTGTCCAATCCGACCAAGGAAACTGAGCCGGTCGGCCTGTCGCCTCATCACTCTTCGCTTCAACTCGAGAGGACAGTCAGGCAACTTGACTACGTTACCATAAGCTTCTATACTTTGCTGTAACACTTCATTACTTTGCTTCAAGTCTGCCAGTTTATCAAGGGACTGTGCCTTTCCATACAATGCCCTTGGACTCTTTGGGTATTTATTTACAAGGCCTTCGAACTTTCTCAGGGCATCTCCTATTTGGCCTTTATCTAAAATGCTTTGTGCTTTGTCCAGCTCCTTTGCAATGGATTTATCAAAGCTGTTAGTTATAGCTGCAAGTGGATCATGCAATTTTTCTTTTTTAGCTTTCTTTTTTGTCCTTTCTGTGGGCTTAACTGCCTCTGTTTCAACAGTTTGTGTTTTTGTTTTCTGTTCTAAGTTTAAATCCTGCTGATGTAATGCTCTAACAATGTAAAAAGTAACACTAGATGCCAGAAGAATAACAGAGAGAATGACTAGCCACTTGATATAAGGAAATCTCCTTGGTTCAGACTCCTTTTGCTTGGTTCTTGCGCTACCATAACCACTATCAGTATCTGTAAAATGACAAAGACAACATTATTTAGTGAGATACAATAATCTTTATAATAATAATAGTAATAATAAATTAATAATAATAATAATAATAATAATAATAATAACCACAACGACCATTAATATTAATAATGATTAAGAAAACCATAAACATGTAAAAACTAACAAGATAATGTTCCAACATTTTGGGGACTTCATGATGCCATTATCAAGGAACTGGAAATAAATAAATATAATGATAAGAATAATTTTTTCCTCATCTTAAGTGTTTTACTACTGTTGTGTATATGTTGTAGTTAACATTATCTTAGGCAATTTTTGTTTTCCTTTTGTCTTTGGGTATGGTAATGTATGCTAATGAAGTTGAAACAAAAGAAAAAGAAAAATTACCCGAGATATTGGTGTCTACCTATTTGAAGAGGGCAGGATGTTAAGATTAGCTGTTTTCAATGATGCATCTGAGATGTCAAGGGTTTTGGTGGTGAATACAGGTGTTCAACAGCAAAAGATTTATATTATCTAATATAATTTAAATGTTAACGATCGATTTCGACATACATTTTAAAAGATAAATCAACGATAAAAAAGGTTAGTTTGCTCCATTTTCATGCCTCACTTTAACTTTACATATTCCTGATTTTTCTTTTAAAATGTAATTTAGTAATATGTAAGGGGAAAATCTGTAAAGTAGACTAAATTTTGCTTTACAGTTATCTTTTTGTTTTTTTACTATGGTTGTCAGTAATTTTCCGTAGGTATTAAAATCTCTTGTTTACATTTGATTTTCAGTCAATCCATTTCAAATGTTGTGATAAAATAAATTGACAAGTCTGAATTATCTCAGTGACAAGTGAACTGTGGTATCTTAACCCTTAAAGTCCCAATATCCACAAACAAATTCTCCAGACTGATCTCAGTACATTTCCTTAAGAAATTAGTGGAGAGAATTTGATAAAAGATCAAGGAATTTTCTCATTGGTGATCATTTTTGTAATTCTCATAACCTCTTCTCTTGGTTATGTACAGATATTACAAGGAGAAAATTTATGTTGATCATTATTGGGACATAAAAATTTTATGTCCCAATAATGATCAACATAAATAGTCAAAGAGGGCTACTACTTCCACACCAACTCATGAAGCATTCCTCTTCTGTTTTCCACGAAAAAAAATCCAGATATTTTGCATTATTATTTAATGAGAAGCACCCATAACATCTAAGTACAGGAAATTGTGTCATTGTTTTCAGTATTAAATAGATTATCACATTTTGGATAAACTGTAACAGTTAATTCAAGGCAAATTTGGGCCAGACTCAGTCCTAATAAAAACTATATTAATATATGTTAAACTTCTGGGATAAAAATTTTAATAAAGTTCTGTTTACCCCAAAATGGATGAATGTTTTTTCAGCTGCAAAATTATAAATAATTGATAATGTTTGAATATTTTAATATTATTCACCTGTTTCTAAGTCTCACAACATCTACTGCTCAACAAATGAATGCAGATTAATTTTAGCTCAGCTATGTTGCTTTTTCTGAATCTATACTCGTATGGTGAACAAATGCATAATTTGCCACTAAGTAGCTTGCCAAAGGCTTAAGTAACTGAAACGTTATCGGGCCGTAGAACATTAGCTGCTCCCTTAAAATTTGTAACAGTGTGTATTAAAAATAAGTAAAACATTTTAAAAGCTGTACTACATGCCCTGCTCTTGATAAGTAATCAGGTTCATTTCCACGGTGTTCTGCTCCATATCTCATGTAGCAAGAACTTTGAGAAGCATGTGCCTTTTAAGAAAGCTTAACGATTGATTCTGATAAAAAAAGCTATCTGAAGCACTTTAAACATGTTAAATTTGGCAAAATCTTCAGATGCATCACTTCACCTTGCAGTACGTACTAGCATCATTCCACGATCATGTAAAAACAGCCCAAAATTCATCTAACTTACTTTTATTTTTATCGCCCGTTACTCTTTTACGAGGTGGAGCCATCGTTGTAGTTTCAGGAACTTCAGCAACGGTTATAGATGAATAAATTCATGTCGCCTCGACAAAAACTTTCCTCCAACTGTACAATCTCGTTTCACGCGCGTTCGCGGGATCATAATCAAGAGCCCTAAATGAAACCTGAAAGCGGTATTCCATACAGAAGATGCGCAAAAAGCAAATTCACTAGCGATTTGAGCTTGCGTTTCTTTTGACCCGCGGACGAAAACTAACAGTTGAGGCAAAATGGCGTCCGCTAGCTGGAAGCCCCGCTTTTGGAAGCCAGATACAGAAAAGCCTGGCAGTGATATTGCGATCGAAAGGCCGGTTAATAGTAACGATGCTTCTGATTCAGTTGTCTATAATCCCAACAGCTCCTTGTCGATCAACCTTCAGCGACAAAGGCTTCCAATCTTTATGCACCGAACGAACATCTTGTTTCTCTTGGAAAAGTTTGAAACTGTCATCATCGTAGGCGAAACGGGCTGTGGAAAATCTACACAGATTCCTCAGTATCTGCACGAGAGTGGATGGACGTCTGAAAAATGGAAAGTTTGCGTCACGCAGCCTCGGAGAGTAGCCGTTGTGTCTGTGGCAATGAGGGTTGCTGAAGAGAGAGGCTCTTTCATAGGAGAGGAAATAGGCTACTCTATTCGGTTTGATGATTGCTGTAATCCGGAAAGTACGCGTGTGAAGTTTGTGACTGATGGTGTGCTTTTAAGGGAGACCATGAGTGATCCTTTATTGTCACAATACAGCGTGATCATGCTAGATGAAGCACATGAGAGGACACTTCACACCGACATCATGATAGGGCTTTTGAAAAAGATAAAGAAGAAGCGAAAGGATCTTCGTATCATTGTCTCTTCAGCTACACTGGATGCCGAGATGTTTAAGGAATTTTTCAATTCAAATATTACAAATGACAGAACCAAGGATACTGCTGCAATACTGTCAGTGAAGGGACGTTCATATCCTGTTGACATTCATTATACACTGAGTCCTGTCCCAGATTACTTGAAAACAACAATAGACACTGTGATGGGCATACACAAAGAGGAACCTCATGGCGACATTCTGGCCTTTGTCACTGGTCAAGATGAAGTTGAAACTGTTGTTTCACAGTTGATTGAAAGGGCAAGAGCTTTACCCAAAGGATCTCAGTACCTGAAAGTTCTTCCTATGTACAGTGGTCTTCCACATGCAGAGCAGATGCTGATTTTCAAACCGACACCTCATAATACCAGAAAAGTTGTTGTTGCCACAAACATTGCTGAAGCCTCTATCACTATCAGTGGTATTGTTTATGTCATTGACTGTGGGTTTGTCAAACTCCGTGCATATTCTTCCAAAGTTGGAGTGGAGAGCTTGGTAGTAGTGCCTGTGTCACAGGCCTCTGCAAAGCAGCGTGCCGGCAGAGCAGGTCGTGTGAGGTCAGGAAAAGTTTACAGGTTGTATACAGAAGAAGGCTTCCTTGCCCTAAAGCCAGCAACTGTGCCAGAAATGCAAAGGTGTAATATGGCATCAGTTTTACTGCAGTTGAAGTGCTTGGGTATTGATAATGTTCTCCGCTTCAACTTCCCAGCCCGTCCACCTGCTCAGAACATGATTCGTGGCCTTGAGCTCTTGTATGCCTTAGGAGCATTGGATGAACATGGCAAACTGGTTGATCCCTTGGGCACAAACATGGCAGAATTTCCCACAGATCCAATGATTGCAAAAATGCTTCTATCCTCAGGCGAGTTTGGTTGTTCTGAAGAGATCGTAACAATTGCTGCCATGCTGCAAATACAGAACATCTTTGTCAGCCCCAGCAAACAGAAAGCTGCAGCTGACAATGCTAAGAGGAAGTTCTCTGTGTATGAAGGAGACCACATCACCCTGCTGAACATCTATGAGGCCTTCCTGAAATACAAAAAGAGTTCAAAATGGTGCCACGAGCATTTCCTGAATTTTAAGGGACTTTGTCATGCTGTTAAAATCCGAGAGCAGTTCAAGAAGCTCCTTTTGCAATTCAAAGTTCCAATGATCTCTTGTGATGGAGACGTTGATTCAATTTGTCAGTGTATAGTGAGTGGTTTCTTTGCTAATGCTGCCAGGTTGCACCCCTCGGGATCATATCGCACCGTGAGAGATGACCACCCTTTGTTTATCCACCCAACATCAGTCCTATATACTGAAGCACCACCTCAGTGGGTTGTTTACCATGAAGTACTTCAGACTTCTAAGGAGTACATGCGTGATGTGACAAAGATAGATCCTTCTTGGCTCTACAAGCTGGCTCCCCAGTACTATGAGTTTGGCACAGAAAGAGAGATCGCTGCGAAGAGAGCTAAACTCTTCTAAGGTAACTACTTTAGAACTTTTTGGAGACCTTTTAAGAACTGACTTGTTTAAAAATTTAATGATATGTGTTATTATAGCTGTTGTTAGTCTTTTAAAAACAGTTGAACCTTGAACTTGCAACCACCTCCCATGGCCGACCAACCAGCCAAAATACCAATTAGTTGTTCTGGTAAAAAGTGAATGCACTTTTAGTTGAGATCTGTAGTGATGCACTTCTGTGGATAAGAGTCTAACAGTATGTGTCATAGAGTTTACTTTATACATTAACAGTGAACGTGGGAGTTAGCAACCCCCTTTCATACTGAACCACCAAGGTCAGCGTATTGGCATTTTGGGTTTACACTTTATTAGGTTTGGCCAAGCTATATACCTATGTGGTCTTTAAGTTGTCATTTATTCCTTGTTCACTCTTTTCTTATCAGAGGGGTCTAAAAAAAGGAATATAAAGTTCTTCTGTTAGCACACATTAACTGTGAAGTCAAAGTAATTTTTAAAAAACGTACTTTTTATTATTTGAGTTCCAATGTATTAACATGCAAGTATTGATTGAGGATACTGTTTTTACTTCTCCTACTTGGAGATGGGATGGCCGTGCATCTGGTCTGGTCATCCAAGCCTCGCGAAGGTCGGGCCGTTTGAAGGGCAAATGCAGTACCTTCTTCCTCAGAGTATTGGTTTAACTGAACCTACAACCCCCAAAAGGGAGGGGAAACTCACCAAAGTTTTAAAAGGGGAGGCTCCACCCCGAGGTCCAACAGCTTTCCCTTTTATTTACCATGTTTGACAGAAAAGATACCCCTTTTGTATACCTTCTATTGGCAAATGGTGCCCCTTTCACATACCTAGTTTAGAACTTTGCATCCCTTTTAACTGCAGTAAATAGACTGTCTTTAAAATAGGAATAAATCACAAAACCATAATGTTTTCTTGGCTTTTTCAGAACCATAAAATGCATCTGTTAGGCTTTCTATTGACCAAAATAACAGATTTCCCTATCTTTTCATAAACTTCAGCAGGTGAAATTCCTACCCTTTCATATACCTGAAACCTGAAAAATACACCCCTTTGGGGCAGAGGTTTTACCCACTCTCCCCCCCACCTAGAGCCTACAAGCCACAAGCCTCCCACTCTGCAGGCCACTGCTGTACCAACTGAGCTAATTATTGGCTTCACAGGCATGGCTAGTGCAGAAAACTCAGTCATAATCCAGACAGTAGTTGAATGAACATCAACAAAAATTAAGTTTCACTCTTGCCTGAGTCAATTATCATACAGTCAAAGCTCTCTTAAGGGACTCTGTCATAATGTGGACAGCTCTAGTTACAGCCGCCTTCACTGAAACCCATTTTGAATTCTCTCTGCTGTCAAAAGTCATTCCTGTACGCAGCCCTCTCCAATTGCAGACCCTTTTTCACTTATCTTTGTCCACATACAAATTCTCCAGACTGATCCCCATACATTTCCTTAAAGAAATAGTTTGGAGAATTTGATAAAAGATCAAAGCATTTTTCTTTATGTGATCATTTCATGAATTCTCTTAACCTTTTCTCTTAATTGATTATGTTTAAGGTCATGTTACGAAAAATTGATCTTGGTCAATTTTGGGACTTCAGCCCTTTAAACCCTCACATCAAAATTCAAATTCCTATTTGTTATCCCTACACGTTTTCAGTAGAAGTAGTGGGGAGAATTTATTGAAGTATCATTTAGATTCACCTTGTGTGATCATATTCATAATTCTCATGACCACTCTGTTTTACAAAGCATTGATATTACAGGGAGAAATTTGATGCTGATCACTCTTAGGGCTTAAAGGGTTACGGGTTAAAGAAACTTTGACTGTATTTACTTCCCAGTAAAGCAGCGCCACTTACCGTTAATCCTCCAGTAAGCTCCCCTTTTCAAGGGAAGAAATTAAATCCCCCTTCTCTTTTAAGCCTCCTCTTCCCTCCCGTTTATTATTCTTCACTAATAAATGATAGACTGCAAAAATCAATCACGACTGTAAAACTGATCTGGAACGGTTTATTCATGTGATGGAATTTCGGATCTGTTTTTTTCTTTCCTCGGCTGCGTGAGCGCTTACTTCATGTACTTGAGCTTTTCAACTTTGCATTCTGCTTCTCTATGGAGAACCAATTCCACCATCTTCCCTAAATTAAATAAGCTCCTCCCCCACCCCAAACGTGTTTGAAATGAATAAGCCCCCCGGGGGATTTTATAGACGATTCGTTCAAAGCGTTTCCCAAAGTCAGGCCTTCTAAATACGTGCACATCTCCTGCAACCTCTAGAAGAATAGTTTCAGGGATTCCAATCGTATTCTAGTCATTTATCCTAGGTTAGAATCACAGGTTTGCAAATTAAATTTTACATGTTCTTCCCATGCTACTGTTATCGTTTTCAAAGAACACAAAGTAGTGTGTCATTTGCAGACAGGAATTTTCAAATAAGAGCTGCCCTCAAATAAGCGCCGTACCGAGAAGATGAAAGGTTACTTTGCTCTTCTGTGTAAATACGGTATTTGGTTTCGTGAAAGAAAAATTTGTAATTTTTTTAGGACTTTGCCTTTTTTCAGTTGTAAGAGTAAAAGGTTTCAGCTGCATGTGGAACGCGTTAAGAGACAAAGACATCTAGCTGTTGTGGCTCAGTTTATTTTTGAAAAGAAAAAGTCAATCTGATTTCCTTTTTGTGAACTTTGACTTTCCATTTTGAAAGTTCCATCCAATAGAAGTGGAGTTGATTACGGTCAGACAAGAAAAGTTAATTCAAAATCGTGGCTATTGTCGTCTTTGCTCAAAGTTTTTTGTTCAAAAGAATCATTTTACATGTTCAAGTAACTGACTTTCTTTCCCCCCCAAAAAATTCTTTTACCGACTTTATAGCGTCGTCTTATTTATTTTATTTTATTAATAGACTACCACTATCAGTGTAATTTATACGAAATAAACTAAATATTTTCTTTACTTTAATTATACGTACGAATTAAATGAAGAATGAAATAAGGAGAAAACCTAAAAAGGCAAAGCTTTTGTAGAATTAGGTTCTCGATCAGAAAGTGGGTGAATTTCCGTGTCTGTTGTGGGTTTATAAGTGTTAACAAGTTCGCTGTCTAGGTCTTGTATTTTAGCTAATAAGGTGCTAATTACGATGCCACAGGTGAAATACAATGATCTTCAGTCCAGGGAATGGTACTCAAATACTTTGGAGCTGTCAGTTTTGTTTGAACATGAATCATTTTTAGGGCAAAGAAACTCATTTATGTGTGAGAAATAACGATATGTGTACTGTCACCAAGTTTCCATAAATGCTCTCGCTACTTGTCCTTCGAGCCGAGCTCAAACTTTTTCTCGAGTGCGAAGCGCAAACTAGAAATTCGTTATGTTTTCGGCCGCAAAGCGAGCGACAGAGCCTGCTACCGGAACTGGAAACGAGAAACGAAGGACTTTGAGAAAGTTTATCCTACGAATTAAATGGGAGACACTTGCCTGGTCCCTGGGGCCCGTTTCTCGAAAGTCCCGATAATTAACGGGGCCGTAAAGCTGTTGTCGTTTACATGAAAGATAGAAGTTTCAATAGTTTTGCATTCTTACATGATAAAACTACTAGTTAATGAAACAAAATGGAGTATTTTGCTAGCCAAGACCCGCGCTCTTATTCTTTTCATTTCGATTTGAATATTTGATTTCGGGCCCAAAAATGTTATCGGGACTTTCAAAGAAGGCCGTTTCTCGAAAGTCCTGGTAACGTTTCGGGCCCGAAATCAAATATTGAGAATAAAAGCGTGGGTCCTGGCTAGCAAACTACTCCATTTTGTTTCATTAATTGATAGTTTTATCATGTTAGATGCAAAACTATTGAAACCTCGATCGTAAATGTAAACAGAGACAGCCTCATTATTGCGCGCGGCCGATTTGTTTCGGGTCACGTGGTCCGAGCGTGGTCCAGTCGTTCCTCTCGTATACGTCACCGAAATGCATTGACCGAGAAGGCCTGGGAAGTCAAGAATGGCGAGGTTCTTGGACTATGAGAGTCTACAAAGTAAAACTTTTTAACTGTTATGAGAAACACGATGGTGTAAAACGAAAAACTTTTCCAGCCGGAACAGATTGTCGTTCTTGAAGTTTTGAGATCGCTCGTTAGCACTTTGACATTTAAAGAGAGTTTTTCATGTCATTTCATTTCACTTTGATTTTTCTATTCTTGTAGTTGACGAATCCTACTTTAGCCTTTTATGTCTTGGATTAAGACCTTAGATCTTAAAAATATGTTTTCAACAACCTCAAACAAATACTCGACTTCAAATGCGATCGATTTTTTTTGGCCAGATGTCAGTTACTTCTAACGAAAAGAAAGCAGCTGTAGGGAAGCAAAAATATTTACTGTTTACCGTATAAAATTCTAAAAACCAACTGGGAGACCGTCGACTTGTTTCTCCAAGTTTACAGCACGCTCTGTTGACCGGCAACACTCATTTTGCCTGGAGGCTAGACAGCTGGTAGACCTTTGTTTTAATTTAATCCCGGTACAGGTGTTTTTAGAAGCGTACAACGTGATCGATGGAAACTAAATTTGTTTATTATTTTCTACTAATTTAACCGTCTATAGGTGAAGCAAAATACAGTTGTCTGGGGTCAAAAACGGACTCGAATGTTTTTTTTTTTTGGTGATTCAGGCAAAGGACATGCAAACGCAGTTTTCAGGCCCAGTCGATTTTTCGATCCGCGTCATTTAAGTGTTTTTAACCCTTGCGTGTCGGACCGATTTTTAATATAAGTCGTGAACGAGTGCCGACAAAATCGGCACAATTTGCTTGTCTTAGAACGCTTTTTTTTTTCATTTTAAGAGTTAATTACTTTCTCTGCCTATAGGAATCATTTTTATCTTCCAATCTGTCTATTAATTTATTTATCTGTTTCGATTCTGCAAACTTTAAAATGTAGAGTTCATAAGTCAAACTATCTATAATTGTAAATTTATATTTAGTATAAGCATACGAAGG